GGGGACAGGCGGGGCGGGGGGGGTTGCATATTGGATCAAGAGATCCCAGTGGCTGGGGGACAGAAAGGGCACAGCAGTACACAGCAAGTTTAAACACCAACACATGGCGCACCCCCCCCCCAGTGGCAACATAAAGGGGGGACAGGGCAGTGGCTGGACAACTTCCCTCTGATCGACTCAGGGTAGCTAGGTTCCTTCTACCTGTGTCTCCCCAGGTCACCCAGCTGCAGGTGGAGATGGGGGCTCCAGAATGGGCCATGGAGCCAGCGCTGGCCAGACAGGAATACGGCGATGTGGGTCCCTGCCCTCGACGGCTCTGTCTTGGGCCTCAACTTCCTCACCCCATGACCCGCCTGACAATCGGTCTCCCTGGGTGATCCCAACCCACCCCTTCCTGGCCCCGGAGCTGGCTGGGCTTTCTGGGGGAACAGACACCCTGTGGGTCTTGCCCGCAGGAGAACAGAACATTTTCAGGTCACGATGTGTGTGTGCACACGTGCATCCCTGCGACTTGACCGAGCGTGTTTATCTATGTGCTGACCCGTGTGAAGCCTGTCTAGACCACAGGTGGTGTGGGGGCGTCATGCTGGTTTCCACTGTACTAGGCTGTCCGTGTATCAGGGCTTTTCTGTCTGGGTTCAGATGCAGCCGTCAGGTAGGTCCGTGTGCATGTACACTCGTCCCCTCTTGCCTCCTCCCAGGTGCAGCTCGGACCCAGCTTCCTGCAGTCCTTCCTGAGCGCTGTTCGATCCCGCCAAGCTAGAATCATCCAGAGCTCCTTGCAGCCTTCCCCCCACCACAGGTATGAGAGCCACGGAGACACAGACACTGCCTCCCACAGGTGCCCACCCACGATTAGCAGGAGAGCAAGCCAGGGGCTCAGGGAAACAGGCACAGGGACAGTAGCTGGGGGTGACCGCATATGTCGGGGGGGGGGCGATAAATTATAGAGTTGGTATTCATGTGTGCTCTCCCCACAGGTGGCAGGTGGCCCCCTGGGGGGACAATGCTTACTATTCAACACCTGACCACGTGGTGGTCTTCCCAGCCGGACTCCTCCAGCCACCGTTCTTCCACCCTGACTACCCCAGGTTTGGGCCATTCCATGAGGGTGGACAGATGTCACGATGGATAGGACCTGTGGTTGGGGGATTGGGGTAAAAAACGTCAAAAGGTTCTGGGGGTAAGACAAGCCCTGTCTTCTTAGGGCCGTGAACTTTGGAGCTGCTGGCAGCATCATGGCCCGTGAGCTGTTACGCGTCTTCAACCAGCTCTGTGGGTACCAGTGGGCCACTGGGAGGTGGGAGCCCAGGTGACGGCTCCAAAGGAGGCCTAGAGGGAGAGAAAGGGGGGGCGTGGGAAGGCTCCAGGCACGACAGCCCCGAGCCTTTGCAGTGCACCTGGGAGCCGGCCCAGCCTGCGGTGCCCCCTCCTCGCTCCTGCCCCGTGCCTTACCATCCCCTTCCATGCCCCATTTTCAACAGTACTCCCTGGGGGCTGCCCCGCCTGTGACACCCGTGCCCTAGAGGGGGCACTGCTGTGCCTGCAGCGTCACTACGCTGCCTTTCCGTTACATGGCGTAACTTCCTTCAATGGCTCCCACACGGTCCTGGAGAATGCGGCAGATGTAGGGGGGCTGGCGATTGCGCTGCAGGTAACTCACATCCCGGGGGCCACGATCTCTTTCTACCAGCAGAGTAGATACCCTGTCCCTGACTTTTCCTTCGACCACCCCTCATGCAGACATAGTTGCAGAGCTTTCTGCCTGTCACATCCCCACTGAACAGTGGCCGCTTGGGGATCCCCCTCTTGCTTAGCAGGTCCCTCTTTTCTAGGATATCCGTAGGTTTTCTGACAAGTAAATTTTCTCCTGGCTCAGACCCGTGTGTTAGTGCAAAACTTGGGGAAGGGGACCATGAACTAACTGGTCTGGAGTATTGTGAATAGGGCATCAAACTTCCAAATGGCACAGGTCTGGGGCCTAAAGGCTGCTCTCCATCCCACTCCCACATCTAGGCATACAACAAGCTGCTGTTATCACACCATGGGGAGACCACCCTGCCCAAACTGGGCCTCACCCCCCAGCAACTCTTCTTCCAAAGCTATGCCCAGGTAGGCAGCCACCGTCTCCCACCGCAGCTTGCTCCGTGTCAGGTAAACACCTTGTTGGTAACGTTTAAAGGATCTCTTCCTCCTCATACGCCTTTCCCCAAATGCCCCCCACCGTCTGCCAAAGATGTCCCCACTGCCTCCTTTCACAGATGTCCCCTTGGGCCCATCCTTTCATATCACCACAAATGCTTCTGCCAAATTTAGCATCCCCTTCAAAAAACAACAAGAAAACTCTGCTCCCAAATCCCTCCCTGAGATGAACTCAACTTTTTTCCATTTATTTTTTCCTCCTGGAAATAGAAACCCATTGAAAACAAGCCTTAACACACTATAGGCTACATTTCTCCTCAAAGGCCTCCCCCCAGGTGTGGTCTCTACCTGATGTGACCCCCAAACTACCATGTGCTACCCCAACAGACGTGGCCCCCCATTCCTCAGTATAAATACCCCCTTACAGAGTTCTTCTAATAGAACCCACAGCCTGCCCCCCACCCCCATCGTCTAGTGCCAGGTTAAATTACCTACAACTGGCAAATGCTCCCTCTCTCCACATGACCCTTGGTCATTCCCATCCCTGCTCTTGTCTGTCTGCTGTCCCTAGTCACCACCTCGTCACCAGGTCTTGCCTACTGACCCTTATCTGCCCTGCTAGTCACCTTACCCTCTGTGGACCTCCCTTCCTAGGTGATGTGTAAGGAGCACAGCACACAGGATTTTCAGGACACTCACAGCTCTCCCGCCCTCCGAGTCCACGGGCCCCTCAGCAGCACCCCAGCCTTTGCCAGACATTTCCACTGTCCACGTGGTGCCCTCCTGAACCCCTCCCAACGCTGCCAACTCTGGTAACCTGGCTACCAAAGCGACCTCAACACACGTGTATTGATACCTCCCTGCCCCGTCCACGGAATCAGGGCGATGTTTCCTCTCCCCCCCTTTTCCAAAAATAAAATCTGGCAATTGGCTTCTGCCTATCTCTCAATGACTCTTTCCTGGTATGCTCTGTGCCTGAAAGTCACAGAAAAGATAGAGGAGAAACTTCCAAGCAGAGCTCCACAGACTCGAGAAAGAAAAGAACCAATGCTTGGTGGCCTGGTAGTAGGTCTAAAGGTCAGTGGGCTGGGAGGTTGGGTGATTAAACAGACTACTTAGAGATAAGGAGGCTTTGGTTAAGTCTCAGAAATGGGTCCCCAATTGTTTTCAGGATTTTATTGCTATTACTTTTATTGTAGCTGCTTCCTCCCCCTGATCTGCTGTGCTGAGCGAAGCCAGGGGAGGCGTGGGAGAGAGAAGGGCGGGGTCGGGCCTGGTGTCTCCAGCCCCGAGGGATGGAGCTCAGAGCGGAGGGAAGCAGGGGCAGGATGCCGCGTGTGTGTCTCCGTGGGAGCCGTGACCTGGAGCCCAGGGGAGGGAGTCAGTACGCGATCATGAAGCCGAGGTAGAGGTCCAGGTCCTCATCCGGGAACCAGGCCGCCACCTGTTCCTCGATCTCCCTCATAAAAAAAACACGATGCTGGCCACGTTGAAGCACAGGGCCAGGGCCAGCAGGTGGTCCTGAGCAGCTGCATTCTCCTTTGTCTGCTCCTCCGTCTGCTCACCCTCCTGCTCACCCTCCTGCTCGACCATGTTCAACTCCTGCCACATCTCGCCCGCGGAGGAAGCCACGAAGTACTCTTTGAACCACTCCTGGTCTGGAACAGGGCGGAGGGGAAGGTGCCGAAACACTGGCCCTACCTTGCCCCTGGCCCCTGGCCCTGGCACTCACAAGGAAGGGGAAGTTGGAGAAAGCGGGAAAAGTTAGGACCTGGGGATTTTAACCCAATAGCCCATGTCCTTGTCCTTGACCAGAGGTGGTGCTCTGTCTGAAGGTCCCTTCTTTCTTTTTTTTTTTAAATCCTCACCTAAGCGATATATTTTCCATTGCTTTTCAGAGAGAGTGGAAGGGAGGGAGAGAGAGAGAGAGATGTGAGAGAGACACATCGATTGGTTGCCTCCCGCATGTGCCCCACGTGGGCCAGGATCGAGCCTGCGACTGAGGTCCGTGCCCTTGGCCGGAATGGAACCTGGGACCCTTCAGTCCCCGGCCCACGCTCCAACCACTGAGCCAAACTGGCTAGGGCTGGAAGTCCCTTCTGGTCCGTGTGCCACCACAGCTCCAACTCAAGAGCACACACAGCCCGTTTCCAGCTCAAATGGCCTCCTCCGAAGCGTTACATCACTTGGGAGTGAAGGACCATCTTAGAGAAGAGTGAAAACTATGACCCTCTTCTCAGACAGCTGCATCTATGCTCTTACATGTGAAAGCCCCACGCAGTTTCCGCTGGCCCGGGTGTTCCCCTGAACGGGGCCCTCCCCTGCTCGAGACCCTTTCACATGACACCCTCACACTTCAGTAATAGGGGACCAGGTATTCTCCACAACCCAAACCTGTCTCAGATTTCACTCTGTCCTGATAGTCATCTGGGACTGATTCCAAACATTTTGGGTCCCTAGCCTCCTGAGGTCACCCCCTTTTCTACTTACCTGAAGAGGATATTTGTTCTTTCTGACTCTTCTTGCTGGGGCCTGGGCTCCCTGCCTGAGGCTTTACCCCTTTTGCCCGCAGCAGCAGTAGGATGGCTGCCAGGAGCGCTGCTCTGAGAATCTGGGAGCCCTGGGATGTCATGGGCCTGCCCATCTGCCACCTGTGGCCTTCCCCACTCTCCAGAGCCCAGCAGGCGCCCCACCACCTCCTTTCCCTGTCCTGTCCCTTACCCCTTTCCCAGCACCGTTTTTTTTCCTCCCCTTCTATGGGAACTCTGACCTCATGAGCTCTGTGATATCACAGCCATGGGCTGACTCATCCCAGCTCACTAAAGAGAGTTCCATCACTGGGCAAGATATGGAGAGTAGCCAGCAGGGGACAACAGAGCCTTCGAGCAGGACCATAGTGGGGCATCCTGTGGAGAGCAACACAAATGACTTAAGAGTTCGCAAACTGCTTACTCATCCATTGCACCCTTATAGCAACCAGGTCTCAGAGAAGCAGTGTTATCAGACCCATTTTATAGACGAGGCTACTGAGGTTCACAGAAGAAATGACTCTCCTAGTTACGATCACACAGATAATAAGGGCAGCGCAAGGTTGTTGATTAACTCTTTTAATTCTAAATGTCACAGCTCCCCACTCTTCCATGCAGCCTTTCTCGAAGGTACGTGGTTTGCGTAGGATGAGGCAGAGAGCAGATGTAGAAATAGGATGGCCAAGTTCTGGGCCGTGCAGGAAACTCAGGTCCATTAAAAATGAGGGAGGGGGAGAGGCAGGGGTAGAGCACATCAGTGCAGGGGGGTGTGTGTGTGTGAGAGAGAGACAGAGAGACAGAGGGAGACGGGTCAGAGAGACAGAAAGCAGGGTGCCCCGGGCTCAAGTAGAACCCAGCCTCTCCTTCCTTCTCCCCTAACTGTTCTCATTCCTACACTTTGCGCTCTTGTACTGATAGACTGGGACAGGCTTTTCTCTCATTTTACATCCTCTTGTACTTTTAGACACAGAAGAGACGTTGTCAGAGGCTCATTCACTACACTTCTTGCTTGGTAGGAGGAGGTAGAGTCTTCAGAGAAGAAGTGGTGTGGCAGAGAGACAAGGAGCCCAAGTGACAGATCTCGAGATCTGCCCACCCTGCCCATGAACCTGGTGAGCACGCACCTATTGGCAGTCACGGCTGTGGCTAATTTTCATCTGTTTCTTGTGACAGAGATGATGGTTACGGGTGAGTTGGGGTGGGGTGGGGGAGACAGGACAGAGGCCTGCTCTGAAGACCGGCAACAGGCCATGAGATATAGGAGGGGCATGAAGATGGGGATGGGTGGGAAGAAGTTTTTAGACACACTTGATCTACCCCAATGAGCTGCCATTGCTCCTGGCTCCCGTGCATTCCACACCCGAGTGAACCACCAAATGCAGGGGCAAGGACATGTGCAGAAGCACTTACCCTCTCTGGAAGGGGGTTGCACGTGGAAATTTCTTTCCACGGACGTTACCCATGTTGCCTACTTCATATACTTCCTGGTGATCCAAGCTAGGTGACAGGGCGACTGAGGAATGGTACAGGAGGTCACTTGACGGTGGGGGTGGAAAGATTCAAGTAAGCAGGTGACCCTGCTCATTCCTACCTTGAACTCATTGACCTGCAGGTCCAGGGAACGATGCTTGGGTGGAAAAAAAAACAACATCACTAATGTCCTCCTGGCTATTTGGGAGACGGAGCCTCTTGGTTCCTGGCCAAAAGAGAAGCCATCTCCAGCTTGTGAGCATAAATAGGGAGGGCGGCTGGGGGTGGGGAACATCTCGTGGGGGAGGCAGGAGTGGAAAGAACTGGATTGTACTCACCGCCCTCCTTCCTAGCTCCCTGTGCTGAAAGGATGTCTCCTTGAAGGAACCAGGAATCCCTTAAAATTTGTTTTCTTTCTAAGAAGTATTTGAGAAGTGTGAAAAACAAGAAGGCCTAATAGTTCTACCCTCGAGTGCGCATTGCCATTAATGTTTACGAGCACAGTATTCGAATCCCTTCCCTACGTGGCTGTGGGCATGTGGGTGGGAGTGTATTTGCTACAAATTAAAATCCAGGTATCATGTGTGTCCCTCCTTATTGCATCAGAGCAAGAGGTTGGCTGCTTTGGTACCAACCGGCCCTGGGACCTGACATTGCTTCTGACCCGGCACCTGGGAGGTGTTACAGAGTCACGCTGGACTTTGAGGAGAGAAGCGACAGACAGGGTAGTGATGTGGAATATGACAGAGGTGAAGGCGTGGTGGGGAGGAAAGCCAGATGGGAGAAGACAGAACCCCTTAAAGTTTAGAAAACAGTTTATAAGTCTCTAGTCTACCCCGGGGATGGGTGGCACTGTTACTGGAAAGGGGAGCTGGTCCCGAGGGGGGTCTGTCTAGGGCTGGCTGGTAGTCTGTGGGTTCTTGACTTCATTCAGGAAAAATTCCACACCACCAATCCAGGTGATTTTTGAAAGTATGTTTATTAAAGCTGGGGACAGTGAAACAAAGGAAGGGCTTAGGCTAGAAGGAGCAACAGGGGGGGACTAGGTGGGAAAATGAGCCTAGGTGGAAAAAGGGGGCTTTGGGGACAGGGTCAGGGGGTAGACCGGGATGAGCTGCTGCTGCCCATTACTCCCCTGGTTGTAAGCCTCATGGGGTCCCTTGGACTTTAGGCTTTGCACATCTATGGGGAAAGAGGGGGAAGGGAAAGGCACAGGCGTGCTCCTCGGAGGGAGAGCCAAGCCAGGACCTTTGTTTGGAGGGGTTTTAAAGGCTGGGGGTTTAAGGGAGGTCTTGGGGGGGAACTCAATAGAATAATTATCAATTTTATACTGATGTGCCAAAATGAGATTTATTCTCTTAATTTGTCTGTCCTTGGGTATGGCTGGCAAATGGCACTAATTGGATTTCTGCTTCCTGTTCCCCTGAGTAGGGTGATTTAAGCTACTTACCCTCTGGCTGGGGAGGAGAAATGCAAACCATTTACTCTTTCTTTTTTAAGGATTTTTTATTAATTTTTAGAGAGAGAGGAAGGGAGAGGGGAGAGAAACATAGATGTGAGAACGACACATTGATCCGATATGCTGACTGGGAATCAAACCAGCAACCTTCAGGTGCATGGGACGGCACCCATCCAACTGAGCCACACTGGCCAGAGACAAACCATTGACTCGTAAGCGTCCTTGGTTTAGGGAACATAGGGATTTACTAGATGGCTGCAAACTGCTGTTTAACTATCTGTCTCAGTTTCCCCATTCCACTTGCCAAGGAATTTTCCTAGCTTCTTACTATCCTGCCTGAGGGCAAACTGGTCCCTTCAGGCTGCAGGTAGCTGCCCCTCCCGCAGCAGAGCTCAGTGCAGATACAGAGGGCAAGAGAGAGGGTGCAGACCCTGCCCCCCTTCCCCCTCCAGGAGCCAAGGACCTGCCCTTGGTGAGAGGAGGCTCACCTGCTCCGTGCGGCTCTGACTGGGCCTCCCCTCCCCGCCCCCAAGATTAGCTTTATAGGCCGGGTGCTCCTTTCCTGTGCCTGCCCGGGCTTATCAGCTCATCTACAACCCCCACCTCAACCTTATCGCTCCCTGCATCTCCTTAGACTAATCCCAAGGCTTCAGAAGCTATTACCACCTCACCCCGCCTTACCCCAGCGAAGCAAAAAAATGTCCCACAAGGTGACTCCCTCCCCTCCCCG